AAAAAAAAACTTGGATAGGTATCAATGATGTGGTCGTACATATTTTAAGTTTCCAATTCTACAAAATGGAACATATATACATCTGCCAGATTTCATTCCTTTGAGTACCCTTTTGGGTTACTTCCTGCAGGTAGTGGAGTTTGCTTGTACAAACAAGTGATACATTTCCTTATGAATCCCTCCCCTTGTTGCCAAGTGACCGAAAAGTCTTTTTTCAAACCTTTGCTGTTGACTGGTGTTTTGTTTTGTTTTATGAAATTCTGAGGCCTCTGGCACACTCCTGTCAATCGTTGATCGAGTTCATCATTACCTTGTGCTAGACCTGTATGTTATCTGACATGTGTTATATGTATGGGGTGATTCCTGTCCCTCATTATTGTCATGCAACTGAATAAATAGTAAAGTCAGTTCTGTATCATCTGGTATAAATTCAGTGGTTCCAATATGCAAAACAACTCTTTCTGTATGCTGTGAATGAGTATCTACATTGAGAGGTTCTTTATGATCCGTTAACACCATGAGAATAGCACATAATTCTGACTTTTGGACAGAATTATAAGGACTTAGATACACTTTACTTAAATTTTCTGATTTGTATCCTGCCTTTCCTGATTTATTTGCATCAGTATAGAATGTAGGGGCTCCAAATATTGATGTTTCCCTTACAATGAAAGTAAGATTCAGTTAGTCCTCTTTATAAGTTGCGTTCTCTTGCTTTTGGGATAATTGCTGTTGACCTCTCCCAAAAAATTCCTACAAGCTCTTTGCCAGGGTTCACTGTCTACCCATAATTTGTCAGTTTCATTATTAGTAAAAGGTACTTTAATTTCTGCTGGATCTATTCCTGCTAATTGGCAAAGTCTCAATTTTCCTTTTCGAATCAACTCAGAGATCTTTTCCACATAAGTTTTTAGTTTCTTACTTGGTTTGTGTGGTAAAAAGATGCATTCTAAGATAATATCTTCCCTCTGCATTAAAATTCCTGTAGGGGATGCTTAGAGGGCAATATGACTAGCATGCACTTAAGCTTTAGATCTACACGATCCACATGTGCCATCTGTAATTTGTCTTCCATAAATGCCGATTCTTTCCCACCTTCAGCTGTTAATTCCTGGGACTATTTATGTCCTTGTCTCCATCTAAGGTTTCATTTAAATGAATCAGTTGATCGGGTTTTGTCCTAACAATATGCCATAGATGGGAAATACCTTCTAGCAATCTCTGGAAGCCATTAACAGCCTGAAATTGATCTCTCCTAATTTCCACCTATTCGGGTCTAATTTTTTTGTAAACCTATTTTGTAGCCTAAACAATTAATAGTTTCCTCTTTGTATTTTTTCAGGAGCAATTTGTAATCCCAACAAGGCAAAATTTTCTTCACTTCTTCAAACCTTCTTTCTAAGGTATCTACCTTTGAATCCGATAGTAAAACGCCATCCATGTAGTGGCAAACCATAGAATGAGGAAGTCGTTAATGTATTATTTCCAACGGCTGTTGTAACAAAATATTGGCACAGGGTGGGGCTACAGAGTTAGGAGACTTTCAACCTGCCTGAAGTGTCCAAAGCATAAAAGACCTTGAAGGGCTGGCGTTCGGTCCTTAACTCAGCCGCGCGTCTGCCTGTCCACTCAGCGCTGTGACAGAGCCGGCTCTGGGTCCCGGCTCCCACACCGGGGCCCCCTTCTTCGTGCTCTCTTGCCTGCACCCCGCACCCAATCCAGTGAAGCCATCACCCTCTGCTCCCTACTTTGGCAATCAGTGTTCCTGGGTGACATATTTAGATGGTTGCTATGGTGATGAGGTTGACAGCTTCATATGGCACAAAAGACGGGCCCTGCTTTGCTATATCGAGCCTGCAGGAGACCGGGTGCCTGTGCCACGTGCCCATGTCAGCGTGGGAAGGAAGAGGGGTTTAGACAGCCCATCCCACCCACTCGCTCCCCACGGAGGAGCTGCGACCCGCTGGAGGAGGTATGCCTGTCAGCTTGAGAGATTGTAGAGAAGAACGGGGTCTCACCTGGGGGTGACTGTGCCTGCCAGGGGACAAATGTGGCCGCCCCAACTTAGGGAGTGCCTGGCATGTGTTGGGTAGAGACTAGGGACTCTGATGAGGATCTTCAAGGCCCAGGGATCTCACTGAAAATGACCATGGCTTAAGGAAGGAAGACTCTGCTCTGGCTGCAGTTAGCATCGTCCATCATGGCAGGGTGGGCATGGTGTCTGGTCACACTGAGTCTGCACTGAGGACACAGAGAGAGGTGACCGCTGGGCTCACCCCAGGACAGCAGCCGGTGGGTACAGGGCGGGTCTTCCCACCTCAGAGCACACCCAGTGGCACCTTCCTCTCAGATTCATGACACTTATTGAGTCCGTGTGCTATCAAGGTGACAGTGACAATTAGCACCAGGGTCACACGAAGACAGGAGGATAACCGTGAGTTCAAGGCCAGCATGGACTGCATGGAGGGACCCGTTTATATGTCCCTCCCTGAGAAAGCGGTTATGTGAGTTTCTATAAGACAGTCTGTTTCCAGGGTGCACTGGGATGGATGGTGTTCTGAGACAGGGCCTCACTGTACAGACCAGGCTGGCCTTGAACTCAGAGATTTGCCTGCCTCTGCCTCCCAAGTGCTGGGATTGCATCACCAGTACCCATTCACTTCTTTTAGCCACCTTGACCTTTTCTGGGTATCACAGAGAGTCGATGGGGAGATGTAATTTGGGACCATGGTTATTGGGGCTTAAAGAAATCAGCTGAAAATGTAATTCAAAAAAAATTAAAAACCGGCTCTGACTGGGACTGGGGGGTGCACACTGGTTAAGAGCATTTGTTCTTACATCGGAACTGAGGTTCAATTCCTGGCACCCCCACAGCTCACAGGCATCTGTGATGTAAGTTCTGGGCTTGAACTCTGAGGGTGCTGCATGCACTAGGGGTGTGTGTGTGTGTGTGTGTGTGTGCAATCCTATGTGTGTGTTCCTATGTACATGTGTGTGCCTGTGTGTGTATGTGTGCCTGTGTGTGTGCCCCTGTGTGCATGTGTGTGCTCCTCTGTGTGTGTGCCTCTGTGTGTGTGCATGTGTGCCTCTGTGTGTGTGCCCCTGTGTGTGTGCATGTGTGCCTCTGTGTGTGTGCCCCTGTGTGTGTGCATGTGTGCCCCTGTGTGTGTGCATGTGTGCCTCTGTGTGTGTGCCCCTGTGTGTGTGCATGTGTGCCTCTGTGTGTGTGCCCCTGTGTGTGTGCATGTGTGCCTCTGTGTGTGTGCCCTGTGTGTATTGCCTGTGCGCACGCGTGGACTCCTGCGTGTGCAAAGAGCATGTGTGTGTCACCTTCACCTCCTCATGTCCCTCAGTGGCCCTTGGAGTGGACAACAAGGACCCTCACGACAGCACTTTCTGAGGGGTCACAGAGGCAGGAGCTGCCGTGTACTCTCCTGCCCAGACCAGGTGGGGTCTGGGACACGCGGGGCCGTTACCCTGGGGGCTCCAGGTGTGGAGTGGGTGGGGTCAGGGGCTGCTCAGCGCCCTGAGGCCCGGTGCGCCACCGTGGGGGTCTCAGTGACAACTGGGGTGTCCTGCTCTGTCCCCGCAACCGGCCCCCTGCAAGACAAGGGCAGGAAGCGGCCACAGGGGTCACAGGGTCGTTGTCCGTCAGGGGTCACCCGCGGGGGTTCTGGAGTGACTGTGACTGACCAGACTGAGCCAGGGCAAGGGAGGCGCTCGAAGGTTCTGGAAGAGAGGTCAGGGACCCAGGTCAGCTCCGCAACCGGGGACCGCGGAGGAGTCTGGGGATGTGGGGCCGAGCGGATGCTGCTCAGCCCCTCAGGGAACCAGCCCGAGGCGGCCCGAGGGGCCCCGGAGCGAATGAGTTAGAATGCAGCCCTTGCCCCTCACAAGCCCGCGGGCACGGGCGCGGCTCCGGGACCCCGCTGCACTCCGCCTGCGCCCCGCGGCAGCCTGTGTGTGAGCATGCGGGGATCTCCCAGGTGCCTGGGTCCGGGCGGCCTGACCGGGGCACCCAGCCCCCGAGAGGTCCCCACGGAGAGCCACTGATTCTCAGGGAAGCTGGACCTCTAGCGGCGCAGAGGCGTCTTACTCGGTCCAGCCCGGCCGCGGCGCCTGCAGGGTTCCAGCCACTTCCCGCAGCGACACTGCCACCTGCAGGCGGCGGTCGGAATTGCAGCTAAATTTGCAAACAAAAAACAAACAAAAGCTCGCACCAGGCCCGGGGGTGCCTAGGCTACATAGTGAGTGAGGACAGCCTGGGCTACACGAGACCCCGTCTCGAGAGGGGGGAAAATAATTAAAAAAAAAAAAAGACTTCATAGCCTAGCGTCTAATCTCAGCACTGAAGAAGCGGGGCAAGAGGGTTGTGAGTTCAGGTACTTAGTGAAATCTTACCTCAGTGTAAACAAACAGACAAATAAGGGCTTGACAGAGGGTTCGGCAGTTGAAGGGACTTGCGGTCAAGCCTGGGAACCTGAGATCGAGCCCCAGGACCCACAGGATGGAGGGACACACGGGCGCTCACTCACTCGCACACGCACGCGCACACACACTGAATGCTCGGGGGTTGGGACATAAGCAGAGAAGTGCTTTTCTTTGCCCATGAACCATGTTGGGCAAGGGCAGCATTTATTGAGCTCCCACTGTATACAGATGGACGGCTTTCCAGAGTGACCCGTGTGACCCTCAAGGGAGGCCCGCGGGGTGGGGTGGGGTGGGGTGGGGTCTGCTTGCAGCACAGTGTCAGGAGAGGGACGCGGTTCCAGCGCTCAGGGTGGCCTGGCCACCACCTTCCGACCCCAGAGCCCCAGCAGGGCAGTCCCCTGCCTCTGCTCCGCTGGGCCTCTCCGCCCACCCGCGAGTTCCCTTTCATTACGAATTCTGCCTCATCCTTCTGGTCGGGCAATCGCTGCTCCCATGCGGCCGCCCGCGTGGGCAGAGACACCAACCTGACGCCCGCGGTGCCAAATTAATGCACAGCGTTTCTCTTCCAGGGAGCGAAGGCTTCGGTCGGAACCTCGGTGCTGGACGGTAGCGCTCGGTGCAGGTAGGTGCTGTGCTCCGTGCCTCGCCCGCGGGCTCGAAGCCTGGGCAGGGAGGGGGCGTCGTGCGGGCGGGGATCCCCACAGACGGGGAAGGAGGCCATGGTGCTGTGGGGTGACCTCGACCCCAGACCAGACAGGGTCAGGGTGCAAAGGTCACAGCCATGTCCTCTCCACCCCAGAGTGCCATTTCCCGCACCCCTGCTTCCTGCACGCCCCCAACACCACCCCTGCCTTGTCTTAGTCCTGAGGCTGGGTGTGCTGCACACAAAGGTTTGTTCTTTGGGGGGTCTCGCGAGGGCCACGTGACAGGGCTCTGATGGCCGATGGTCGCACTGGAGGTCACACTGGATCTCATTATCCAGCCTCCGCGGGTACTGCGCACGCGGGGGAATCACGCCGCGTTCTTTCATCTGTCTGCGCCTCTCCCGAATTCAAGCATGTGTTAGAAGGCTCACACCACTTAAAGGGTAGCCCCACGAGCCTGTCACCTGACACCAGGGTGGAGGAGGCAGGAGAACAGGGAATCCAATGTCAGCCTCAGCTACCGAGCGAATTTGAGGTCAGCCTGGGCTACCTTTCTCTCTAAAGATAAAATGAGATGCCGAGCGGTGGTGGCGCGCTCGGGAGACAGAGACAGGCGGATCTCTGATCCACAGAGAGAACCCTGTCTCAAAACAAGCAAAGATTAAAAAGGTAACTTTTATATTGTCAGGGACCCTATGTCATATCAGGGAACACGCCTGGTGGTCATGACTGAGGAACCCCTGACGTGCAGGCCACAGGAGGTACCCAGGGCTCAGTGTGCCCCACAGAAGCCACAGCCCTGTCAGTGAGGGATGCTCACAGGGTGGGGGTCTCCAGAACTCCCTACTTTTTCTTTCTTCCTTTTTTTTAAGTAACTAATTTATTTTTATTTTATGTGCATTGGTGTTTTGCCTGCATTCATGTCTGTGTGGGGGTGTCGGGTCCCCAGAACTGTAGTCACAGGCAGTTGTGAGCCCTGCGCAATTGCTGAGAACCAAACTGGTTCCTCTGCAGGAGCAGCGAGTGCTCTAACCACTGAGCCATCTCCCCAGTTCAGTATGACCCCTTTTAAAAATAATTATCATATTCACATCTCTCTCTGTGTGTGTGTGTGTGTGTGTGTGTGTGTGTGTGTGTTTGACATGTGGCCGTCAGAGGACAATTTGAGGGAGCCAGGCCTCTCTTTCCACGGTGGGGAACCTAACTGGGGTCCTCAGGCTTGTAGGCAATCTCCTGCCACCAGGGTATCTCTGCATGATAAGGGAAGGTGGAGGCTGAGCTGTGGGCAACACTGGTGTAACAATCACCCCCTTCAGGTGTCCCCCCAACCCCTTGGAAGAAGGGATGCCTGAGAACATGAGGCCACCCAAAGCAACAGGTGTGGGGGGCCTGCACAGATTGGGTGTTGGCAGGACTCAGCTCAGCATTCTGCAGGGCCCTGGATGACTGACAGAGCCACTGTGGGTCTCATGGGGGCCAGTCTTCTTAAAACCACCCTCCAGCCTTGATGCTCAGGGTACCCACATACAGCACAGAACCCCGGGCACCCCAGAGCAAGGCGGTTTTCCTCAAGTTCTCTTTTTTCTTGCAGCTTGGGGACATTCTTCTGGGACCATGATGGGCACCACCCTGGCCTAGGTGGCTCAGACTTTTGCTTCCAGCTGGAGCTGCCTTATGCCCACACACACCCTGGGCTGGTCACCCTTTGGGTCTGTCCCCGGCCTGTTGGAATTGTAGGGTTATCCAGTCTCTGTGGATAGACTGTCCTGGGAACATGTCTGCTGATCAGCTCACAAGGTCACAGCAGACATCAGAACACCCGAGAGTCATTGTAGAGTTTCACACTGAGACCCGCCAGAAGTGCCCCTGCTGTGTCCCCAGTTCCTAGGACTTTCTTACCCAGTCTGCAGTTGAGAATTCGGGGAAACTTCTCACAGCATTGGGGACCTTGAATGTGACATTTACTTCCAGCCACTAGGTTATGTTAGTATGATCCTACACCTGCCCTCCAGGGAATCCTGGGTGACATCTGGGGACATGTGTAGCTGTCACACTGGGGGTACTCCTGGCGTGGTGTGTGGAGGCTGCAGAAGCTGCTGTGCCCTGCAGGGCCAAGGACACCCCACAGGGAACAATGCTGCTTAAAATCTCTCCTGCTGGCATAGGTTGAGTCACCGTGGTGGGGCCAACCACCCTCTCCCTCAGCACTCGGTGTGTGTGGGTGTCTTTGTGGGCAGAGTCCCAGGACCTCAGCAGGGGCAGGTGGCAGGGTGACACAGTCTCCTGGGGTCCCTGGGAATCCCTGAACCAGGGCATCTCCACTGAGGACAGTCTTTACCCCAAGGTACTGTTTGATTGATTGATTATTGAACAGATGTCAGAGTGGCTAATGACCAAGAATGACCCTGCCCCGGACTGCCCCATCATACAGAATTCCACCTAGCCACGGTGGAAGCCTGCTTTGTTTTTTGAGACAGGGCCTCTCCTAATCAAGGCTAGTTTCAAGTACTCTTTATGTAGTTGATAGTGACACTGGGCTCCTGGTCCTCCTGTCTGTACCTCCTGAGTGCTACATGACAGGTGTGTGTCACCATGTGCTAAGGATAGAGCCCAGGGCTTCATGAAGGACAGTCAACTGAGCTACAGGCACACTACAGGCAGAGTCACATCCCATCCCAGGATCAACCCTTTTACTCCCTGTGGTGTCCTTTGGTCCTCTCTCAAGCCCCAAAGAGCTGCCTCCTCTTTGAAAGCCTGTCCATCCAATTTTCTTCCTTTGAAAATCAGGACCTAGAGAAGTCTGTACAGAAAGAGCGAGAGCCTCCCACTGCAGTGTGGATGCTGTTGCTAAGCAACCTCGGAAGCATCAGCTTCCCCCAGAGTGGTGCTGATACAGGGATAGGTCATTCCTGGATTTGCTGGGCCTGAGATTCCATTGACTCAATGCCTGTGGGGGTGACAGTCACATATGATATGTCACGGGTGGTGGGGACGTGGGGGAGCCATGGCTCATTTGTGGTAAGTGGAAGGCATCCCCACGACCCCAGGCCCACCCTGGGCCCAATTTAAGGTCACTTTTATTTGTGTGTATGGGAAGGTGCAGAGCCTAAGGTGGCCAGAAGGGGGCGCCAGGTCCCTCGAGCTGCAGTCACAGGCGGTCATGAACCATGTAGATGCTGGGACCTGAGACCTGGTCCTCTGCAGGAGCGGCTATTGCTGGATCCGTACACATGACATGAAGGTGCTGTGTTGGTTGGCCGTGGCCTTGAAGAGGACCCAGGTCTTTCTCAGCCCCAGCCCGTCCCTTCTCTTCCAAATCTCCATCATTGTTCAGGAAGGGTCTCTCCACCTGATCACCTATGCAGGGTGCATGTGCGCGCAGGTGTGGGGAAGTGTGTGCATGTGTGTGTTCATGTGTGCATGTGTGTGCGCGCAGGTGTGAGGACGTGTGTGCATGTGTGTGTTCATGTTTGCATGTGTGTGTGTGTGTGTGTGTGTGTGTGCGGGTGTGGGGGCGTGTGTGCGTGTGTGTGTGCGTGTGTGTGTGTGTGTGTGTGTGTGTGTGTGCAGGTGTGGGGAAGTGTGTGCATGTGTATGTTCATGTGTGCATGTGTGTGTGTGTGTGCAGGTGTGAGGACGTGTGTGCATGTGTGTGTTCATGTGTGCATGTGTGTGTGTGTGCAGGTGTGAGGACGTGTGTGCATGTGTGTGTTCATGTGTGCATGTGTGTGTGTGTGTGTGTGTGTGTGTGTGCAGGTGTGGGGAAGTTGTGTGATGTGTATGTTCATGTATGTGTGTGAGTGTGTGTAAGTGGGGGGCTGTGATGTGTATGTTTGTGTGAGTGTAGTGGCTGTAAGTGTATATGAGTGAGGGGGCTGTGTGTGTGTGTGAGTGTGGTGTGTGTGAGTGGGGGGCTGAGTGTGAGTGTGTGTGTATATGTCTGTGTGTGTGTATCTGTGTGTATCTGTGTGTATGTGTGTGTATCTGTGTGTGTGTGTGGTGTGTGTGTATGTGTGTGTGTATCTGTGTGTGGTGTGTGTGTGTGTGTATCTGTGTGTGGGGTGTGTGTGTGTGTGTATCTGTGTGTGGGGGGTGTGTGTGTGTGTATCTGTGTGTGGGGGGTGTGTGTGTGTGTATCTGTGTGTGGGGGGTGTGTGTGTGTGTGTCTGTGTGTGTGGTGGTGTGGTGGTGTGTGTGTTTTTTTGTGTGTGTGTGTGTGTGTGTGTGTGTGTGTGTGTGTGTGCAGCAGCCCAGCTACATCACTCCCCCTGGTTCCCGTGAGCCAGGGTCTCTCACAGCTGGAACATACAAGGAGGTTCACTGAGCTGCCTGACGTTATCCCAGGTCACCCTCAGGGAGAATTGGTCGCCAGACTGGGGAGGTTTTTTTTGCACAGGAAGACCTGAGTTCAAATTCCCAGCTCATGTAAAACACTGGCTGCAGCTGGAGCCTGTGGCCCCAGCCCGCTCTGGGGAGGTAGAGGCAGGGGAATGCCTAGGACCCCTGGCCACAGTCTAGCTTAACGGGTGAGCCTGAGGTTCTCTGAGACCATCCCAAGCAAGGTGGAGAGTGAGGGAGGTGGCAGCTGAGGGGAGGGGAGAGGCTGTGGCCTCCTCAGGAGGTCTCCTGGATAGGACCTGACCTCACACAGTAGGGACAGCATGCCTGTCATGCCGGAGGAGGAGTAAGGATCTCATGTGGCCTCCTGGAATGCCACACACTGTCCCCTGCACCTGAGTCAGAGCTTTACCTGGCACACAGCCCCTGTGACCCTGGGGAGCCCAGGAGGCAGCAGCAGCAGCGGGGACAGAGAACAGGATGGGGATGGCCGAGGGCAGGGGTAGGAAGGGGCCTCAAAGCCAAAGACAAGACTCTGGCTTTGCTCAGAGAAGGTGGAAAGAGCAGCAGCCACCCCAGGGGCTCCTAGCATGACCTTGTACCCTGCCACCCCATTCTGGAGTGACAGTGACTCCTTATT